GCAGGACATTTCGTTACAAACCGTTCAAGAATGTTTGTTCTAAACGACATTATCCATCAACAACGTGAGACAGAGCTAAAATACAGTCTGAAAACATCTGACAAGCCTTAACAACGGCTAACAGCACCAATTCCTGTTCTACTTCTTCAACATGGTTGTTAACAGCCAGATCCACCTGCCGCCAGCCCAAACATCGTCTGACAGCCCCATCACTGTTAGAGAATCTGTTAGGCTAACATTCCCTAACAGGCACGCCTGTTAGCCGCTGTTAGACCCCCTATGAGTTGGTAGGGTGTGTGAGACTCTGTGTGTGTGTGTGTATGTGTGTGTGAGACTCTGTGTGTGTGTATATGTGTGTGAGACTCTGTGTGTGTGTGTGTGTGTGTGTGTGAGACTCTGTGTGTGTGTGTGTCTCTGCGTGTGTGTGTGTGTGTGTGTGTGCATGTTTTCATGTTACTCCAAATCCACCATGTGCCCCAACAGTGCTGTTATTGTGTGGTTGTCTGTGTGTTCTTGTTACCCCAACATCACCTGCTTGTGTCTGCCTGTCTGTCTGTCTGTTTGTATACAACTACCCATCTGTCTGTTTGTCTGTCTATCTCGATAGATTAGGTACGTAGGCATGGATAGCTAGATGCAGATAGATGTAGGTAAATAGGTAGACCGTTGGCAAACAGTTGGCACACAACTGTTTGGTACACAGTTATTAGGACAGTTGGTGGACAGTTAGCAGACAGTTGACCCACAACCGTTGGCAGACAGTTGGCACACAACTGTTTGGTACACAGTTATTAAGACAGTTATCAGACAGTTGTAGGCATTTGGCAGACAGTTGACCCCACAACCGTTGGCACACAGTTGAGCAGGCTGTGGACAGACAGTTGGGCAGGCAGTTGCTGACATGACAGGTGGACAGTCAGTCGGTTTCAAGCCACATGGTTGATGGGACAGTTAAAATCAGTACGTCGGTTGTTGGTCAGTTGTTAGTCAGTTGGAAGGCAGTTGGTGGGCAGTTAGCAGGCAATCAGGCAGATGATGTGGTGGCAGACACTTTATGGGCACTTACTAAGTAAAAAAAAGGTAGTTACCGCAGGCACACACATTATTGTTGGTGGTCAGGACACTAGTAATATATATATAGGTGGGTTGGCAGTTGGCAAAAAGTCAAGTCAATACACAGTTCAGAGGCAGTTGGCTGACTGATCGGAGACAGTTGGCCAAACAGTTGCCTGACTGTTGAAAAACAATTCGTGGTAGGTCGTTGGGAGGAAGTTGATGAACACAGCTAGCAGACAGTTAGGAACACGTGCTGAATTTAACTGGCATGGCCACACCGAGGCATGGATCCATCCGGATGGGAGTGTGGGCTACACAGCAGCCTGGCTCCTGTGCAGCAGGGGCCAGCAGCCTTCTTTCTGGTA